AATTTAGGTTGCATAGTAAAATATGATAATTGGATAAATGGTAAAGATATACTTTTTATTGTTTGGGTAATTAATTAAATTTTTAGGAGATTTAAATGTGTTTAATTGATACTTATTCAGATTCACGAAGAGAGACATTAAATTGACTCGGCTAGATGATTGATTTGATTTTGAGAGAGGTAAACTGATTTAATTAGTGAATTTGATCGAATATAGGTTCTATTGATCACGTCCTCTTGCCAACAATTTGACCTTGTCTTGGGGCGTCTTTGGCTAAGGGAATAATTACATTGTACTTTCGAGAATTAATACTTTTTCTACATTAGAACCCTCATTCATTACGTGTGTACTTCTTAATTGCTTGCGTAAATTTATTAATTTTTGGAATTGTAAAAAAATCAATTTTAGTTATCTCATTTGAATTGGAGTGAAGAGTAGTTAAATCAATATTTAGATAGATAGTTCTTGTTAGAACGATAATGCGGACTTTTAGGTCCATTTTACTATTTGTTAATCGATATTGTAACTTGCGAGAAAAATCACGCAACAAGTTTTTGATACTATTGCAGGAAATATTTTTTATTTAATCTAGATTTAGACTATTTTTAGATTTCACTTCAATAGTTTTCATTTTTTATTTATCAGAGAAAAATGTATTCCTTGTATGCTCTATCCACAAAGCGACGATATCAACCATTTGACTATGAGATTGAAACGTATTTTTAGACAAAACTAAGAAAAATCATTATGATGAATGAATAAGTTAGATTTCACGATACATAAGACGCTGGCAAAGCAATTATGGTGGAAGCTAATTGACTAGCTACTTAACACAAATTCAACAACATGATAAAGCAAAAATTGATTGCAAATTCTCGACTCCAACGACTTATCTTCGCTCAACCATTACGCATTCAGGAAATGATTTTTGACTTATGTTCTTAAACATTCAAATTACTTTTTATTCACATATTCCAAAAATAATACTCACTTATTCACTACTCATTCTATTTATTTATAAACACTACCCAAACAAAAATATTATAAGTATGACTTTGATAGACAATTGACTACTTGGACGCATTCATTTTGTTAATTTCTACGAAGTTTCTAAGCCTTGGATTGGTATTTCTGTTTGTATTCAAGGTGCGAAGGGAATCATTGGTTGGTAAAATGACACGTAATTACTTCATATTATCCACACAGCCAAACTTGGTCGGTTAGATTATTAGTTGAACCCACTTCCAAGAACGAACTTTGCATCATTCGTTGAACAAATAGTGAACGTTGATTGGTGCGTAGCCTTCGTCGTCAACTAAAATTTACAGTATTTGTTAAACAAGCCGTCTATGTTGAATATGGGGGGGCATATACTCTCTTAAGTAGAAATAGAACACGACTGTCGAGATAAATGACACCCTGAACCAAAATGATACTAGTTTTGATAATTAATTTTTTGATCGTTAGAGATAAAGTGAGTCCTACCTGTGAGAGAAGAATTCAAAAATTACGACTAAAATAGTGAAATAATCGTCAAAAAATTGATCTTAATTGACTTAAAAGTCCTATCAAACAAGCTCATAAAAATTTTGAATATATATATTGAAACTAGAACGCAGAAGGTTCAAGCATATCTATAACCAAAGGTAGACTGTCGTACTACATTCCTTCTTTCTTTTTAGTTTGTTATTTTTACTATCTAATTATAGCCCTTATTTGAGCCACATTATACTCTTAAGAATGTATTTTTAAATAGTGTATTGATAGAAAATATGTGGTTAAAAAATAAAGAAAAATTTTGAATTTGTGTATAATATTATTTTATTGAAGAATTTGTTATTGAAATGATGTCAAATCATTGTTTAAAAATGTATTTTTTTAAAGAAATATGGTTCAAACATAGCCATAATTAACAAACACTTGGATTTTTAACTTGGAACAAGAAATCTGCACTATAATCCATATTTAAATCGAGAAAATCATTCATTATTCTCAACTGTAATAAATATATATGACGGACAGGGTTTATATAATTTATTTATTAATTAAGTTGAATCTACCAAACAAGTGAAAGTGTTGACTTGGACCAGGTCATAAGTCTTCGTCTATTATTAGTATATACAATTATTGATTTAGGTCCAACGTCAGCAGGTTTACTTCATCCCAATAAATGAATGTTTTATGTGTTTTTTATGAGCAGCGATTGGTGTACAGAATCTCTATCGACATCTCACATGGGTGGAGTGGGTGGTAGATTTTTGACATTATTTATTCATGCAGAATTTACACTTTGTGAGATATCTATAAATTTTCTGTAAGAATCTTTTTTGTACACCAAAGATTTTTCTTCATTCAATCATCGGATCTATATATTTTGATGGAAGAAAGTTAATGTAAGTGTTACACTAGAAAGAAAATGAGCAAAAAAGTTTGTTTAAACATTTTGAGAACTACGGCCATAAGTGTCATTCAATTTCGTAAAATGGAAAAAAAAATATATTCAGAAAATCAAATAAAAGAACTTATTATTTAATTTTATTGCTGTCACTAATATTCCACAAATGAAATAATCAAGTCCTTGTTTGAAAATAATTGATTGAAAAGTACTTTTTCCTATACTCATTTTCAACTATATATTCTTTTAAAAAAAAAAAAGGGACTCAAACAAGGGTTTAATTTTTTAATAATTTTCTATATTTTCAACAATACATTCTCTTAAAAAAAAATTCAATTTTTTTCATATGCACTAGTAGGGCTGCAAAAAAAATCGTGAAATCGCAAATCCAACCGAAACCATTGAATTAAAATCATTGGTTCGGGTCCACGTGGACCCGTAGCTTATTTTCCCTCAAATCGAACCAAACCGTTTCAAAATGGTTTGGTTTAGGTTTTGATTTTTAAAAGCCGCACAAAATCGAACCGAAACATTTTTAAATTTTTTAATTAAAATATTAATTTTATTAACTTAAAAATTTTAAAATTTTCACTTATAAAAAAAATATCAATTTAGTAATACAAATTACAACCAGCCCATTGAAATAATTATAGAAAGTAAATTACGTTCATTATATTGACCTATGATTTAATAGGTTCACAACACATGTCCTCACCCGATATTTAAACTAAACTAAACTAAAATTATTCCAAAATAATGTGAAATGAAAAAAAAAATATTATTTCAACAATCCAAATCATAATTCAACAAAATTACGTCAGCAAATCACGTCCAAAGTTTCAAAAGCTCTAACATAAACTCTCATTTCCCTAACATTTTACTCTTGTCTGCTACTACTGAACGAATCGTCAATCGTCTTCGCATATTAGTGTATTAATTTCTACCTAAACCGCATCTTTCTCTTTTCTCTTTCGGTGAGTCTCGGATTTTTATTCAAGCCATTTTTACATTGTCCCTTCTTTTATTTATTTTTTTGAACTTATTATGCACCTGTGAGTTGTGGTTTGGATAAAAAAATAAATGTTTGTGTGCGTAAATGATTAATGAACTTGTTTGTGATTTGAAATAACGAAGGATGGAGCGTATTGATTGTATGAAAATGTTAAAATTTCCTAACTAGTACTACTATATTCTACTTTTATAAAATAGTTAGAGAATGAAATTTCTCAATTCCCAATAAGCAAAAACTCTATCAATCTTTGTACATCTAATATATCCCGTTCCATCCTTATTTAACATCTCGTTAGCAAGACGAAATGAATTTTAACCAAATTGTAATAGTAGAATGTAACTCTATTTTTACCAGTCACTATATGACAATATGAATGTCAAACAAGAAAAGATAAATAAAAATGAAGAAAAATATTTTTGTTCTATTAACATCTTTTAATAACCAATTTTGAAAATAATTTATTCTTGAATTTCATGGTAAATATGGATATAATTTAACATTATTAATTCTCGTTTAAACTTAAAATTAACTTATGTGAAATATATTTCTACAATGTTGATAGATAAATCGCGGATTAAAACCAAACAAAACCTCAAATTATGGTTTGATGTGGTTTGGTTCGAAAAATAAAATGACTTTAAAAAATTTCAAATAGCATAAGATAATTTAATTTGAAAATATAGTACAAATCGCTCAAATTAAACCGCGTTGAAATTCTACTGAACTTTGCCGGCTGTATAGCATTCAAAATCTACTTTAACTTTGGCCCCACGTTATTATTATTATTATTTTAATTTTTTCTGTTTGGAGTGCCCATTGGCTCAAAACTGGACATTTTGGTTGGCGACTGAAAACGACATAAACCACGTAGAAAGACATAAACACCACGCAACTGACTAAAATAATCCTTACAATTCACAAAAAATCATCCTACGACTTTCTGATATATAAATTCTAAATACACTTATGAGTTGTTTAGCCCCTTTTGGCCCCATTAAATTTAATTATATTTTATTTTATTTTTCTCTCTTATATTTTCAACCACACAATTTTTCATAAAATAATATTATACATAAATTAAAAATATTTTCTTCTTTTTCAACCACTCATTTTTAAAAAAAACACTATTCCACTCATTTTCATTTCCAAGAAATGAGGACCAAACGGGGGCTAACCAACTAGACTCGATAATATAATTTTGCATACTCTACTATAATCGTATGATTGTCTAGAGTAGTGATGCAAAAATTACAAACGACTTTTGATTCATTAGTGTAAATCTCATCTTTTAATGAATTAAAACCATATTCTATAAGGATATTTCAAAATGCAGTAAGAAAAATAAAAATCTAAAAAAATATATTAATTAAAAAATAAGTTAGGAAAACCCATAATTGAAAAATCAAAATTATCATGTAATATAAAATTCAAAAACCTCCCATTTTTAAAAATTCATTTCTTCTCAAACTATCTTCACTCACACCTTTTTTCAATGAAATAATTTTTATATAAATTCAAAAAAATTTCCTACTTTTTTAACTCTATAATCTCCAAAAAAAAAAAATCAATTTATTTATTTTTGAAAAGGGAGCTCAAAGCAGGGAAGATATACGATGTCTTTGCCATAGGTTAGTCTGTTAAGGCACGGATTTACATTTTACCCTAAATATGGAAGGGTGATGCACGTGGATATGAGGTCATGTCGCTGAGTACCCAGAGCCTATTGACTTCTGACTTTTAGCTTATTTTGCGAACACTGGCCGTTTGATACTTGTGGTTGAAAGAGGAAAAGAGGAATTCTTGTGATTGTATTAGCATTTCTAAAGGGTTCCACAGAATTCAGCACTTGAAGACCTAAAAAATATTTTGTATGTATAATTCTGACTCTATTTTGTTTGAAATTGTATATATTATAGTCTCTTTAGGATGTTTGAATACGTTTTCTTCTTTTCTTTTTTTCTTTCTGGGTTACAATATTTCTTGCTTAAAAGCTACATCTTAATGCATATTTTTCTGGGTTTGAAGTTTGAGAAATATCTAAAAAAGGTTCATTTCAGTTTTGTATATGGAAAAAAGAACATAGTGTCACAGTCAGTTCAGTTTCTTGAAATTGGGCAATGATCGAGGTAATTGTTTAATATTTTTTTTTTCTCAGGGCTCAATAGAATGAATAAAAGATGAAGGAAGATGGTTTGATCCTTAAAACCCACCAAGAAATAAGTGGGGAAAACATTTTCCTGATTATTCCCATTATGTTTTTAGTTTTTCTTCTTTGCTTTCTTTGAAATTCTTGTGTGTCCATCTAATATAAAATTTCAATTTTATGCAGATAATCTGACTGTAAAAAGAAGGGGCAGAGTAATGGAAGGATTGCCCCCTCCAACATCTTCAATTGTTGCAGTAGCTATAACAGGAAGTCGGAAAAGCAAGCATAAAGTCAAATGGGCACTAGAGAAATTTGTTCCAGAAGGGGAGGTTTGCTTCAAATTGCTACATGTTCGACCCCTGATAACTAGAATTCCTACACCTAGTAAGTTGTTCTTGTGCTTGATTGGCATACAATTTGGAGAAGCATAAGATCACACTAAAAGAAAAAGGATTTGCTCGAATAATATTGTGCTTTTTGGTATAGAGTAGTGTATAATCTACGTTACCAAACATGCCATTAACGAGTAGCTGACAATGGAATGAGATTCGACGTGTGTTATTAAATCCGCGATAACAATAATAATAAAAAGGGGATTTTTACTTCTATTTTAATATCTGCATTTCTATTTGATTTACAAGTACACAAGTAAGAAATCCCCCAAAAAATAGAACATGAATTGACTTATATATAGAATACTGAAGTTTGATAATGCGATTCTCTTTTACAGTGGGAAATTATATTCCTATTTCCCAAGTTCGAGATGATGTGGCGGCTGCATTTAGAAAGGAAATCGAATGGCAATCAACTGAAAAGCTTCTTCCTTACAAGATGATGTGTATTGAAAAAAAGGTGAAAAATAGCTGCCACATGAAAGACTGTAAATGATTTTAAACTGAGTTGAGATGCTTATTCCCTGATTTCACGTGCAGGTGCAAGTGGAAATTATACAAATTGAGTCAGATGATGTGGTAACTGCAATATCACTGGAAATATCAAGATGCAAGATCAATAAGCTTGTTATAGGAGCTTCTTCTCGCAGTATATTCTCTAGGTAATACTGTGGATTTTCTGTTTGAAATGACATATAATCAGTTCTTAAAATATATTGTTGTAGGAGTTTCTTTCCTTATCTATATCTGGAAATGCCTAGTCAACCATGGAGATGAATGTGATTACTGGGTAGCAGAAAATGATCCCTTTCATGGCTTTTAACATTGATTTTTCATGCTGTACATAAATTTTAATTAGTGACAATGTTTATTAGTCAGTTTCAATATGCAAGAAAGTGATAGCAGTCGTCGTGGATTTATGTATGCCAAAAAATGGAAAATAAAAACAAGTTTTCATTTTATGCAAAAATTTCTCAAATGAGTTCAAAAAATTGTTTCTTTTCCAGTTTTACATTTTTAATCTACAGCTACATTGTTTTAATAACCTCTGATCACCCTTACTGTGTCTCTGATGGAAAATCAATAATTTGATAAATAGGGCACAAACAATATCGTCAAAAGTATCAGAATGCTGTCCGAGTTTTTGCACAGTCTATGCTGTTTCAAAAGGAAAATTATCATCATTGCGCCCATCAGATTCAGAAACAAACAGAAGCATTACAGATGACAGTAGCGACCTAAGTTGCTCTTCAAATAATTCTGCAAGCCGTACTTCAAGCTCGCAAACAGGTATCCGATTACTTAAAGAGATGCTTTTTTCATTTTAATAATTCTATAATTTGACTGGTCAATAATGTATTCTACTATAATATTTTTATCTGTGGGTTGCACCCTGTTGCCTAGTTGAAGTTGATTGTTGTTTCTCTCTAAGTTATGCATCCCTGAGACGCACACTTATTTAGTCTCTCTCTCTCTCTCTCTCTCTCACACACACACACACAAAAACACGTTTTGATTTTTGAATTATCCGCACTAAAGATACAGTAATACATTGAATTCCTTTCTCTATTTTCAGAGTGGACAGACAACGGCTCAATCGGGTCGCATGCTCATTTTCGCTCAGCTTCACTCCCAGTGCAGCAGTTTCAAGCTCTTTCAACCATAAACCAGAACCTGCTTCATAAAAGAATGCCTTCAAGTGGAATCACGCATCCAAAAAATTTGTATCCTCATGTTGAAGATGAGGATGATGGCTCAAGCTCTTGTTCCGGTGGTGCTGATGTTAATGACACGATTAGTGTGGCTTCTAGTTTTAAAAGCTTTGTTACAGATAAGCCTTCATTGAATCAAGGTTCCAACTTTGATGTTCCTACAGAAACTTCCAGGAAACAGGTAATCAGTTAGTATACAAAAGATGCATTAAATTGGTTAAAGGCCAAAAATAATTTTGGGAAATGAAACAATCTGTATAGAGAAATCTTGTGAACTTTGGCTCTGAAGTGAAAATTCGTGCTAAATATTGAGACCACATTATTAGATTCATGTGTTAATTATATGGGCTAACATATATTGAAGCTTGTTCCAAATTGATAACTACAACCTCCCAAACTAGTCTGCATGTCTGGTTGCCTCTTCATTCATTGCCAATTGGTTTTAATGTGGATGCTTTACCAACTGACGCAAAGCTGATGTAGATGACAATGATTTTAATTTTTGGTATTTCATTTGAGTTTCAGTTACTAATAAGTAATATCAAAAGGCACATGGCAAAGCACAATGGCAGTTGCATGGCCATCCTGTCTCTGCTAGAATTGGAAAAGATGTAAAGCATTAGACAAATTTTTTCCCATGTAAAACTAGTCTTGATGAGTTTGAAAACTTATTAATAGAAGGTGCTTTTTGTGTCATTTCCTGCTAAAAATAACCTTGGCTTTAGAATCAAATTTTTCTGTGCTGCTACTAGCCTTGCCATCCTCTTTGGGTGATTTGAGTGGGATTCAGAAATCATTTATAATTTTGCATATGGAACACTTGAGCTACATTGAACACTTACTCTGGACTCTGGAGTTATGTCTTCAGACATTCCTATATGTGCATTAACTGGTCGCCTCATTTTATGTCTACTTGTCTCTATTTTTCAGTAAATGTCGTATCTCGTCTCTGAATAAGTTCTCCCTCCAAAGTTAACTACAGTCTTACTAATACTTTATAAGTTTTTTTGCAGGAAAATGTCGATTTTGAGCTAGAAAAATTGAGAACTGAACTCAGACATATTAGAGGAATGTATGCGATGGCCCAAAGTGAGGCGATTGATGCTTCAAGGAAGGTATTCTTAGTCAATTTTTATTTATTTTTCCATTTTATTTAATTTGATAACGATTTTTTTTGAAGGATTATCTGGATAATTGTTCTACAACACTTTCCTCCTATCTCATCAAGAATTTCTAAATTGACCTCAGTTTACTAATTTTATATAGAAATTATGTGGTAATAGTTGTCAGTAATACATTTACAATTCTTTTTCCTCACGTTTCGACTGAAGAATTCTCACTTTATTGCTTTTGATCAGCTAAATGATCTTCAGAAGCGACGTTTGGAGGAAGGAATTAAGTTGAAACAGATAAGCTTTAAGGAGGAGGAAGCCAAAGAGTTAGCCAGATGGGAGAGAGAGAAATATGAAGCTGCAAAGAGAGAAGCTGATTATGTGAAGGAATGTGCTGAAAGAGAAGCCGCAGCAAGGAAAGAAGCAGAGATTAGAGCTTCACGTGAAGTCAAAGAAAAGGAAAAGCTCGAAAATGCCTTGACTGGCTCTTTGCATCAGTACCAGAAATTCACATGGGAGGAAATTATATCTGCTACCTCATCGTTTTCTGAGAACCTTAAAATTGGAATGGGAGCATATGGGACGGTCTATAAATGCAGTTTTCTTCATACAACTGCTGCTGCAAAAGTTCTCCATTCTAAAGAAGCTAGTAGAACTAAGCAATTTCAGCAGGAGGTACGTGGACTACATCAACAAGAATAAGACACCGATGTAGGCGCTTTCTTTAGTTTTTAAAATACCGATGTTCTTTAGTCATGTTTTCTTCAGCAAATTAGTTGTGAAATCAGTAATATGACCTAATTCAGATTTTCAAAGATCTGATATCTTCTTTTTTCTGATTAACAGCTTGAAATATTAAGCAAAATGCGTCATCCACACTTGCTGATTCTTCTGGGTGCATGTCCTGAACATGGTTGCCTAGTATACGAGTTCATGGAAAATGGGAGCCTGGAGGACAGGCTTCTGAGGAAAAATAACACCCCTCCACTTTCATGGTTCCAGAGGTATAGAATTGGATGGGAAGTAGCTTCGGCCCTTGTCTTCCTGCACAACTCAAAGCCAAAACCAATAATCCATCGTGATCTAAAACCAGCAAACATATTGCTTGATCGGAACAATGTGAGTAAAATTGGCGATATTGGCCTTTCCACGGTGCTTCACTCAGACTCTTCTTCTGCCACTTACAAGGACACCGCTTTGGTGGGAACACTTTGCTATATCGATCCTGAGTACCAAAGGACAGGATCAGTGTCTCTCAAGTCTGATGTTTATGCTTTTGGGATGGTTATTTTGCAATTACTGACAGCAAAACCTGCAATAGCCCTCGCTCATCTGGTAGAAATTGCGATGGATGAAGATCGTTTAACGGAGGTACTTGATCCAGAAGCTGGTGAATGGCCAATTGAAGAAACTAAGGATTTGGCTCATATGGCATTAAGATGCACTGAACTTCGACGAAGGGATAGGCCTGATTTGCAAGATGAAGTTCTCCCTCTTTTGGAGAAGTTGAAAGAAGTGTCTGACCGCGCTCGAGATATGGCATTAGCAGCTAAACCGCCCCCGCCTAACCATTTCATATGCCCTATTCTCAAGGTATGCCTGTATTTTTTTTTCTTACTATTCACTATTCAGTGATTATTTCTTACATCTTATCCTTGATAAGTCTTGTTAACCTCTAGATTTTTTTTCTGTCAAGATGATTATTAGTTTCTTCACTCAAGTAAATTAAATACTTTGGCAATGCAAACCCTTAATTTATTTATCTTTTCCGAAAATCTCACTTCTCTAGCAAGGACAAACTACCTACACACCTCGGTAACATGTCTAGTTTTGAATAGGGAGGCATCAATCTTCTACAACACCCACTATATATATTACCCATTTATGTGGCAAGGAGACACCAATGGAAAAAAATAGCCTTTTTACAACACTTCGTTGCTTCAATTTTTGTCTGTCAATAAAAGCCCAAGTTTTTTGTTTCAGGAAGTAATGAGCGACCCTTGTGTTGCTGCAGACGGGTATTCTTATGACCGGAGGGCAATAGAGGCATGGCTCGAAGAGAATGGAAAATCGCCAACGACAAACTTTCCATTGCCTCATAATAACCTAATACCAAATTACACCCTTCTTTCTGCCATTATGGAATGGAAGTCTGGGAAAGATTGACATCACTCTATCCATTATCAATTTGCCAGAGTCTCTTGTATATGCAGTTTTTAGAAAGTTAGGTTCTTTTACAAACTTGTGAGTCATACAGAAGTAGAATTGTAGTAAAACATCTAGCTTTATAAGGTTTAGTCTCATTCATTGCAGTTGCCAATATTCATTGTCATCTGAAATTGTATTTCACTGTAACTCATAAATTTTCTGTCGTGGGAGTGATTAGAGTTTGCTTTGTGTATACGGTTTTCCTACTTCCGCTCAACAGACATTTCTACTACACCGTTGTGGCAGTCGTGGAAAATTAATAGATATTAGGATCTCAGGACTAGTCTTTATGTTCAATTCTAAAACAGTAATAACAAACTAAACTTTATTTTCAAGAAATTTGAGGTCTGAATATTTTTTTTTCAGTTAATTATTACGTCTACTAAAAGATACAATTCCCACTAGCTAACACTATTCGGAGCATGTTCTGATTATGGTTGACTGGTATTCGAGTACGATAAAAATGAAAGCTTGGATGGTGCTTATTTAGAGAAAACAATACACTTAAAATTTTATGGTTCTCATTGCTCAAGAAATAGCCTCAGCCCTTGTGCGTACGAGTATAAAAACTTATTTTTTTTTTCCCCTGAAATTCCACTTGGAACTGAGTTCATTGATGTGAAAATGATTGACGATAAAGATACTTGTTCAATTTGAGAGAGGGGAGAACATTAATGCTAAGTAGGAGTGACAACGCATCTTACAATTAACTTATTTTAATACTGCGAAGTACTATTTAGTGAACATGGTTTGATTTAGACGGTTTTTTATATGTTTTCATACCAAACCATTTAAAATGCTTTGAAAAAATTCCAAGCTATTTTTTTGCTGTTCAATTTGGTTTAAAACCATGGTTAACCTTGCGAATCTAAAAATAACACATTTCAATCAATAGGGCCGTCCCTGGCCGAAGGCCAACTAGGCAATGGCCTTGGGCCTCAACATTCTAGGGGCCTCCAAAAAAAAAGAAAGGGAAATTTTCCAGTGTAATAGCCAAAAAAGAAGAAATTCTGAACTTATTGTGATGAAGATTCTATTCCCAAAATAGTGTAATTTTGAGTTAAATTTTCATAATAATTGAAATACATCTATAGCGTTAATTAAGGAAATTGACACGCATAAATGGAAAATCTTTGAAAACAATGCCATAATAATCAGTCAAATTGAATATGACAATAAATTCGAGTAATTAAGGCTAAAATTTGGGAGATCAGATTTTCATACCAATCGGAACCCATCTATGTAGTTCTTTTACTTCTAGGTATTATTGCATCATCCATTATTTATTTATAAATATATATTTAAGTATTGATTGGTATATAATATACATTTATATTTAATATACATCATCTATTCATTATTTATAATATACATTTATATAGCATCATGTAATATATTTACGGGTTTTTGAATAGTAGTTCAAAAACTCCATCGGAAGTACAAGAGATCAAGACACTATGTCGAACCATGAATCAACGAAATGATAATCCAATTTTGATATTTTGCCATTTAGTTTTTAAATGTTAAAAACTAATGCAAAAATGCAAAGTGTGACATGGTTTCCTATTTTATTTTATTCCATAAGTTTCTTTGTATGTTACACTAATATGTTATAGCTGCTTTCTCACATGGCGAATTCAACAACTAATATCATATTCCTACATAATGATGCAAAGATTTATTGTTAAGTATTCTCAGGGCCGGCCCTGTCTGTCAAGTTAAAACATAAATAAGCTAGTTTAAAATTCTTGATACAACCTCAATGCAAATTTTATGAAACTCAAAAACAAAAAAATAAAAGAAACAGCTGCATTAGCAATTCATTGCTTAGATGTTCAAAGAAAACAACGAGCAAATAATAGCAACAAACACAATTCATTAGCAAACAAACTTAAATGTCTTTTTGTAATACAACTGCACTTTGTTTTCCTATTGAACTATTTTACTTCGACCAAATTTAAATTAACCCCAAAAAAAAAGGGAAAATACAAGAAAAAGTTGAGGATTACTCAAATACTGTATGTGAAATCTTATTTCCAAGGGTCGTCACTTTAACAGAAAGTGATTGACAAACGGAGTGATATAATATTAGTTGACAAGATGTGATTAAATGAAAAAGTTGACTATGTTTAAAATAGTTCAATGATGAAGTGTTAGGTGGCATTATGTCAACCATTATATTAATGATGGCATGTTTCTATTTCAAATCCAAGATTTCTTGAACTAAATTATGAAATAGTCGCAGAGTGCTGATATTTTGAGTTGGCTAAGAAAATGAAATGGCCTACTATTCAAGACTCTGCACCAAAATATTTGTTAATTGAACTTTTCTTTAAATTATTAATAAAAAAATGTCCTTGAAATCCCCTTAGACTTTTACACAATTATTTGAACAGCAACAAGTTCAGAATAAAAAGCTCAAACTCTCTCAGAAATTACTTAACAATTATTAGACTAAATAATTCGTTAACAATAATATGTAGACAAAAGCTAATTAATCAACACCACAGCAAGCTTCAAACACAGCAGAGAGACTCAATGTGTTGAAATCCATTTGTCCATGAAAATCTTAAGGAATCTTCAACCTCAGCACCTCAAAATCATGGAGCTTCTCGAAGGTCTTATGAGTAAGATTGTACCGTATGGCCTTACCCGGAATTTGCAATACCAAGAAGGAATCCCCGTACCTTTCACCCTGAATCAAACAAAATATGGATAAGGCATAATAATACCAGTTTGTCGGGTTAAGATAACTTCGGATCATCCCAGGAAAAGCACTAACTAGTGGTGACAGATCAACCTGGTACTTCACAAACCACTCAGAATGGTCCCTCTTCATTTCATAGACATCGAACTGAATTTGTGGACCAAATGTCTCAATAAAATTTAGATGGCCACAAGACTCCCCAATATAGTAGTTGCTTCTTCCCTCCCAGCCATCTGGGATAGGCGGCATTGGCAATGTTTCCAGTCTTTCCTCATCAATGACGAAATATAAAGACTCAAAGGTCCCATTACCAATCCAGTGCATCGAACCATTCCAATACACTCCTTTTTCGAAATTGGCATTAGCTGTGAACGGCTGGCTGGATTCTTTCCAAGGACCAGTTTCAGATGAATAAACTTCAATCTGATATTCTCTCTCTTCTTGATCTAATTCTAAATGTTGAACACAAACAACTTTGTAGTGGGAGACTTGGGAGGATCAAAAGCTAAGTTTATACCACATATTTTCTTTCTGATCCCGGTTCCTTGATCTGGTTTTGGAAGTGTAGTGAAGCGTTTTGTTGTGGGATTGTAGACATAGTACTTGAGATTATGGTTACGAGCTCGTAAGCTACTACAAAGTAAGAGTCCATTGCAAGACCGCAAGATACTAATGCGAGAAGGGTCTTTAGTAAACTTGAGCTTTCTAAAAGGTGGATTGGTTGGATTTTGGACCGAGAAGGGGACATATTCAAACAAGGGGCTAATGCGGAAGTTAGGGAAGGGCAATAAAAGGCCTAAGGCAGGATTGGGGTTCGGATTACGTAGATGGCAGAATTTCGGATTTGTGATCAAATAGTGCCAGTGTTTGGATACTAACTTGAAGCGAATGAGTGATTTTATGGGGAGACGCAACAAGATTTCAGTTAAGAGATCATCAATTGATACAACACCTTGGGCCGACGTTGCCTGCTCGGCTGTTCTGATGAGTTTGATTTTGATTTTCATCTTAGTATTTTCTGTTGTTGAGTGTGGTTTGCTGGTATAATATAGCAGCATTTCAATGCAAAGATTGCTATGAAAGCTAACGATTTGCTGACTAGTTCATGAGAATTGCAGGACAAGTTTTTTTTGGCTCAAAACATGGTCGATGAGGCTTATATTATTTTCTTTGTCGGTATTTTATTCAATTATTTTCATTGTTCTTTTGGAAATTAATTGTCCATGGTTCATTTACAAGATAAAGAGATTATTCTATCCTTTGAATTGTGATACACGACAGCCCACCAAATGGTGGCTTGATATAACAAAAAAATCTGTATGCAAATAGGCTAATTAAGCCCTTGTTTTCACTGTTTAAAATCGTTCAAACTTACTTTTTATCCGCATGTTTTGTAGGTTTCATCAGTACTACCCACTTATCCATCACTCTTGTCTATCTATTTTTTTTTTTTTTAATTTAAACCGATATAAATGACTATCAAACATATTTTAATGAATGTTGTCCTATGTAACATGTCACTCGTTGTTACAGAGCAAGTGCTAATCTAAATTCGGAAATTAATGATGAATGTAACATAAATAGACATAGAAGCATAGGAATTTATAATATAGGGAACTAGGTCTATCTGAGCTTGTGAACACTGTGAGCAACTCTTTGTAGATAATGGAGTTACATAATGATTTTTGGACCATTGCAAACGTAGCAGCCGATTCTTTTGCCTTTCTATCTCACAATGGGATCCATGTGCTGGAAAAAATTAAAAATAAAAATAAAAAATAAAATCTAAAATTGCATTCTTGTATTCTCCTCAAGATAAGGAGGCTATTGCATTACAGGAGGAAATGGTTTGACTATGGATTGGTAATAGCAGAGGCCGAATGTGATGCGTTGAAGGTTGTTCAGGAGGTTCAAACAAATAGTCCATTGTTTGATATTGCTTTAGTTATTCATATATTGTAGCACTGCTTGTCGTGTGACACAAATCTCCTCAAGACTCCCTGAGTATCAGAATGGTCTTTTCTTTATAGGAAAAACAAACAAAGAGACACATAGATCTTTTCATCATTCCACTTTAACTATTTGGTAATTTTGAGTCAAATATTGCTGCTACAGTAGGACCTACATGACTGTGTAACGATCTAATTTCTAATTAAAATCTGCCAAACAGGGGCCAAATAGCTCGATGTAGTTTAGATGATCACAATACTCAACAAAATAATAAACACCTCTCCCTTCCAATGGCGGCATTGGCAACATTTCTAGCATTTCTTCATCTATGAAATATTCAAGAAGTGCTGATATTTTGAGTTGGCTATTCAAGACTGTGTACAAAAATATTTGTTAATTAAACTTTTCTTTTAAAGTCTTTAATAAAAAGAATGTCCCTGAAATCCCTTCGACTTTTACATTATTATTTGAAAAGCAACAAATTCTGAATAAAAAGCTTAAGTTCTCCCAGGAATAAAAACAGTTATTAGGCTAAATATCCTTAACGATATTTTGTTAGAAGCTAATTAATCAACACCACAACAAGCTTCAAACATTGCAGTCAGACTCAATGTGTTGAAAATCATTTGTCCATGAAAATCTTAAGGAACCATCAACCTCAGCAACCTCAAAATCATGGAGCTCATCGAAAGTCTTATAAACAAGATTGTATCTTATGGTCTTACCCGGAATTTGCAATACTAAGAAGGAATCCTTATCCTTTTCGCCCTGAATCAGACAAAATCGGGACAAGCCATAATAATACCAGTCTGTCGGGGGTTAGTATAACTTCGGATCATCCCAGGAAAAGCACTAACAAGTGGTGACAGATCAACCTGGTACTTCACAAACCACTCAGAATAGTCCCTCTTCATTTCATAGACATTGAACTGAATTTGTTGACCAAATGTCTCAATAAAGTTTAGATGACCACAAGACTCCCCGATATAGTAGTTGCTTCTCCTCCTCACAACCATCTGGGAAAGGCAGCATTGGCAATGTTATGAGGCTTTCCTCATCAATGATGAAATATAAAGACTCAAATCTTCCAATCCAGTGGATCAAACCATTCCAATATACCCCTTTATCGAAATTAGCTTCAGCTGTGACAGGCTGGCTGGATACTTTCCAAAAACCAGTTTCAGATGAATAAACTTCAATCTGATATTCTCTCTCTTCTTGATCTAATTCTAAATGTTGAACACGAACAACTTTGTAGTGAGGAGTCTTGGGAGGATCAAAAGCTAAGTTCACACCATGTAGATTCTTTATGATCCCAGTTTGTTTCTCTGGCTTTGGAAGTTTAGTGAAGTGTTTTGTTGTGCGATTGTACATAGTACTTGAGATTATGGGCATGAGCCTGAAAGCTACTACAAAGTAAGAGTCCATTACAAGACTGTAAAGTACTAATGCCAAAAGGGGTTTTAGTAAATTTGAGCTTTCTAAAAGGTGGATTGGTAGGATTTTGGACAGAGAAGGGGACATATTCAAACCAGGGGCTACTCCGTAAGTTAGAGCAGGGCAATAAAAGGCCTAAGGCCGGATTGGGGTTCAGATTAGGTCGATGGTAGAATTTTGATTTGTGATCAAAAAGTACCAGTGTCTGGATACTAAGCCCCCGTTTGGTGCACATTATTTGGGAAAATAATACATTTTTTCCATCAAATCAGCTTACAATATTTGACTTCAACACTCCAAGGTAGGACTCATGATGTGATGTTTAAAATGCATTTTTGTTGAAAAAATGTGGAACAAACGAAGCATAATTTGAAGCGGACGAGTGATTTTATTGGTAGACGTAACAAGATTTCAGTTAAGTAAAGAGATCGTGAATTGATGAAACAACTTGAACCCACGTTGTTCATATTGGTATTTTGTGTTTTTGAGTGTGGTTTGCTGCATTTCAATGCAATGATTGCTATGAAACTGACTAGTTCATGAGAATTGCAGAACAAGATTTGTGGTTCAAAACAAGGTCAATGGTTCTATATTAAGCCCCCAATTTGTAAATGAATTGTCCGTGCTTTTGTAAATGAATTACGTTCAAAACAAGCTTTGTGGTTCAAAACAAGGCTAATTCTATTATTAGTTTATTACGTTGACACCTCGAGATTCGCTGTTCTTTTGTAAATGAATTGTCCATGCTTCATTTACAGGATAAATAAATTATGGGAAATTATCAAAAATGTCACTTTTTTTTAAAATGCACAAAAAAATTGAATGTGCACCTAATTTTATAAAAAATGTCACTTTTTATGGAAAATGTCCAACTTATCCTTCATGTCCCCTTTTAGGAGCATTTAATGCTATGTTCCAATCCAATTAATTAATGTTATGATTTGATTAGTTAAATTTATATATTATAATTATTGGATATATATTCTATTGTATAATATGAATTTACTTTAAAAAAAAAAAGATAAAAGAAGTAAAAAACCTATTTAACATCAAAGAAATATATTCAACAAACCCTCACTTCATCCATCTTTTTCATTCCTTGATCAATAAGACATTATTATTAGATTCATCATCCATTTTGAGAGGTTAGTTATTACGATTTTTTTTTTATCGAATAGCTTACTCTTTTTTAAATGATAAAAACAACATGATCATCAAAGTGAATAATACTTTTGAAACTACTATTAATCATGATACTCCTCATTTTTGAAATATTTTTTAAGGGAAAAGATACCAAAAAGATTTATGCAAATGTTAAGTGGTAGCAACCTTATCAAACCAACTTTCATCTTTATTTGAATCATATTACACAGTAGTAGCAGCCTTACCAAACCGAAGTCAAAGTACGTGTCGGTGATTAAATTGTCGAACATAGAAATGTGAAGCATAAGACTACGCATTAACAAATATTCTGACTTCTTTCAACAACGTCGAATGATGAACAACCATCGCGTATCTCATATAAATTCATTGTTTCTCCTGTCACCCCAGTAATGTGAAAAGCAGTCATACATTATAGATAAATAAGCAATAATAACAACAATCTGATCAAAGTTATTATGGAAGTCAATTGATGAACATAATTTGTCATAATCGTTCTCGTGCACATAGATCTCTACCCACTTCATGTGGGCAGCCAAAATGACATTTCAGGGCGAAAATGAATTCATCAATCAAGCATAATGAACAAAAAATGCGAAACACACCATTGAAACTGGAACATAGAAAATGAATGCATCAATCAAGCATAAACAACGACAAATCAATTAACAAATCATGAAATCATAGTATTTCATACATGTTAATGCGAAACACATGTGCAATGTTGGAACCAAAGTTCAAATTGTGGAACTGAACTTAAGTAAAGAAAGGAATTGTCGTTCCCGATAGTTCATCTGTCGAAAACTTCATCTGATCTATCGATGAGTCCATTTGTCAAGAATTACTGATACTAACTGTCGGGAACGACAGTTAAATGTAAGCTATTTCAGAGCTATGTTGTCATTTCACTCTGACACATTGTCATTTCATTTCCGACATTTTGTCATTTCATTCCAGAGGTTTTGTACAATGATATATAAGGTATTCAAATAATTCATAGGGTCAAAAATGTCCTAAATTGACATTTTTGATAGAAAATTTGAAAGGTAGCATTTTTGATAATGCATAGTCAAATTTTGACACTCAATGAAATTTCCTCATAAAATTATTCTACTGGGGCTTAATATAACAAAAAATCAGCATGCAAATAGTCTAAGCCCTTGTTTGAACTGTTTATAGTCGCTCATGTTTCATGTTTTAAAAGAAAAAAATGACTTGGGAACATTATGAACCTTCCTAGCTTCTTATATATGAACTGTACAGTCAATTTATTACACAAAACGTCTTCAAAAATTTTTATAATCGGTTGAAGTTCATATCCTTGTACACATGATTCTTGTATCTTTATATCCTACATGTTTTCTATTTTTGTTTTTTATTTTTACGCATCTTATGAAAATAATGATAAAAATGTATCCTAAATCATTCAAGGACTCAGAGCATAACATATCAAACAGGAGAAATAGACTCCATGAACCACCCGAAAGTATCAAACCGCCCTTCATAACTTAACCCTCCCTCCCTTCCTTGGGAATGGGTATACTGAACACTTCATTAGTAGGCTCAAAGATGAGAGTCTCTTTTCATCTCAAAAACATTAAAATGTGTGCGGTGAACACAACATAGTTCAATTAGATGCAAATGTCCTCAAGACTCCCTGAAGTACCAGAATGGCCAATTAATTATAGCCAGTCCAACTGTCCCTGTTGGTTATTTTGAGATTTCCAAGCTTCTGTGCATCAAAATTGAGATACAAATAATTCCCCAAAAAGGTTTATCCAATTGAATGCATTGTTCCAATAGACACCAGAATGCATTGCCACATAATCTGCCGTAAATAGGCCATTAGAAGCCCTCCAATATCTGACCTTGGACAA